CGGGCTGAGATAGTACGTGCTTGGTTGCCTGCATCCCCATTCGGCAATAAACCCACAATCCTCTCATGCCATTTTTGCCAAGTTACTTTTCCGAGGGAAACCACACTTCCACAGTAACGTATAACAAGGGCCCTCTTGAACCTGCACCTGTTTGTCTTCTGTGCTCCACTTCCAGGCTCTTGTTGAGGGGATCATGTGCCAATATGACCCCGCTGCATGGCACGTACAGTGGTATGGGGACCCCTGTTCATGAAACTGCACGGAGTGAGGGGCCAATGCATATGGTCAACTAAAACAAGGGTTGGGCACCTAAATCCCCATGGCCATGACAAGTGAAGTGAGAGCACTGTTTCCTAGTCTAAAAGGAAAAAAAGGGAACTCTGATGCCAGCTCTCGACCCGTTGTAGCATCATCCACCTCCCCAGGCTCAGAGTCAATTGCCCAGCCCCCAGTGTGCTTGTTAGGTTTGGGGTTTTTTTTCCAATTTAACCGTTTCAAAATATTTGTCTTTTCCTTCTCTTTTCCCACAGTGAAGCAGCTTGATTTAGACCCTGTTTTACCTGCTAGATGTTTTGTCATAGGCTTTTGCTGCATCTCCCCATTCTCTTCCATTCTCATTCTTCCATTTCTTTTCTTTTTCTCCCCACTTTAATTCTGTGTGGGTCAGGAAGCCAGTTAACCTTTTTCCATAATAACCTAGACTAATCTGGAGCTCTTGTTGTTCTTGACACAGTGTATTGTAACAGTACAGTAATGTGGTGTTGTGTTAGTTGTGAGGTTCACCACCTGGAGTTGAACAGATGTCTGTATTTCCCAAGGTGTTGGTATTGTTTAGCTCTTTACTGCAATAAATATGAACAATGCTGTTTGATAGGCGGCACGGACTTTACGCCTGGATAATGACATATGGGCAATGACATATGCATACACCAGTCTATATAAATGATCTTAAACACGGCTAATTTATGTCATCAGCAAGAAAAGCAACGCCTCTGTTCAAAAAGCTCCCTGCCTACCTAGATACAGTAGCTATTAATTTGTAGCCCACAGGCAGCATGGTATTTTTGTTTGTGGTTCATTTCAAGGTAATAACTGGTATTCCACTAATATGCATGACCAGCATGTTCAGAATGGAAGAACTAGAGGTGGTATGATTCATAAACAGGGTTGACAAAACTCCTATTAATAAAGTTACTGGCAGAGGATAAACTATTTACTGCCAGCAAATTACTAATGTAAAAGATTTGCCTGTGACGCCAACTTTCAAATTCCGTCAGGAAAAGCATTTGACTTTGTGGAAGCGGAGGGGCACGTTCTCCAAAAGGTAAAAAGAAACCAATTTGCAAATATACGGACAATTAGCAACCCTGATTATAAGGTCATGCCGTAACTAATCCAGGTGCAACATCTCCTGCACAGGTGACATTTTACAATCTCTCTGTAAATCCCTGCTATAGTCTAACAGCTTCGGTGCTATTCTGTAGGATTTGGAATCACCTGCCAATCAAAGCTGAAACATTTGAATCCCAGTGTAATTATTCATAAGTAAAGCCACTGCAAGCAAGGGAAGAAACATTAACATTTTCCTTTTTTTGAATGAGACTTCGACATAAATACAGAAGAAATAAGTGATCTAATTAGGATGGTGTTTCTTTTTGGAAATTCGAACTTGGTTCATAAATAGGTCCTGTTCCTAACTTAATTGTATTCAAACATTTTAGTTAATTTGCTACTCATAATTTAGCATAATGTGATCAGGATATCTTGCCTTTATGGAGATTTATGCAGATTTTGAAATCTGTGACGAAGCCCTATGAGTCAGCAAGCCACTAGTCTGCCTTTTTGTAAGCGCTCAATAGACTCAGCATTAAAATTCATTTTATAGACCTTTTTTTCGATAGTATGCTTTTGCATTTCAGTACCGATCACCTACAGCACACTGCAGATCGGAAAGCGAAAATTAATGCTGTCTTTTATTTTATGATACTAAAGCAGAAATTGGGGAGTTCCAAATCCTTACCGAACAAACTGCTCTATGATTTGTCTCTCCCATCCCTGAGCTGCAAGGGAAAAGCCTGTCTGCGGAAGAAACACACACAAAAAAAAATGCTGTGATTTTAAGGTCACAAGTTATGAAGCAAGAAGCACATGATGACTTTAAATCTGTAGCCAATGACTCTGCAGTCAAAGCCATCAACAAAGCGGACACTGTCCCCAGCAAAATTTAATCTTCTAAAATTAGTTTCCCCTGGGGGCAGCCAGAACCTGTACTTACACTGCGGCTTCCTTCTGTGCAAAGTCCTATTTGGAGTAATGCATCAAACCCTCTATTTGTTCAGCAGCACCAAATACCAAGGCATGTAATTCTCACAGCTCAATAATTTTCATAACCAGTTGATCATCTAATTACAAGAGTAATATTATGCTCTGACATATTCAAGACAGTCCTTTCCACTTCAATCTGCATTATAATGCCTCCTTGGAAATTGTGCTGAATTATATCCTCGGCCTTGGCATTTCTTCATTAGAGGTTAGGTGAGTAAATTAGTTTATCTTCTGGAACATTCGAGGTCTAAAGAGCATGTGTCATCCTGATGCATCTGAACATGGAAGTGAATCCAACAGTGAAATCGATGCTTTGGTAACCTCCTATAAACGGAGGACCATTATTTTCTAATCGTTAAAAATGACCGATCAGTTTTATTTATGGACCATATTTTTCAGAGCTGTGACAACTGAGGCATTAAATTGTGTTCTGTCCACAGTGTACTGCGAAGGACATAATATAAGCTCGTTACTACCTCTCCAAATCAGACCATTCATTGAAGTCCCCATATTCTTGAAGCTGTTGTTAATATAAGCCTTCCATGATATCTGATCATTCAGTTTGCTCTTTGGATACTTGGAAGAGGAAGAGGCTAATTTAAAAAATAGAGCTTTTTAATTTCCTAACAATTAAACAATTCTTTAAACCTACAGTTGTGCTCGTTGTGCTCACTTCACCCCTAATAATGAAAGGCTGTGTTGTGCATGTCATGTTGAAGGTGTTTAAGTGGAACTGATAGTAGCCTTGGTATGTATTAAAGACAGTAATATGCTGCCCAGAAAACAAAAATGCAAAACCTTATTGCAATCAATCTGAAATGCATCAAATTTTGGAGTTGAGCAAGTGAAGATGAATTAGCACTTGAGACCCAGAGAAATGACCTGCTCTGCCTTTCCCTCTTTAGAAGCGCAGTGTAAACCCTACTATTCCGATTACTCTCGCTTCCGGCTCCTGATCCACCAGATGTGCACGAGCCATTACCTGGACTTGTTCATCACGGGTGTGATTGGCCTCAACGTGATCACCATGGCTATGGAGCACTACCAGCAGCCCAAGGTACCGGGAGACAGGGATTTGACTGAGCAGAGTTGCAAGGACAAGAAAGGCCCTTCCTCTCCTTTCACTGAACACCAAAGAAGGGCAGGCCTGGGGCCGACGTGGTTTGTCAAACCTGCGGCTGTTGGGTGATGGTTTTGCACGGTCAGTGCCATGCTGATCTGGATCAGGAAGCTGTAGCCATTCAGACTGGGTGGGTAATGTGGAGGAGTGAGAGCCCAGGGTCCTGGCTTCTGTTCCTAGTTTTGACACCTTGACAGGCCGTTTGATCTCTCTGTCCCTCAGCGCCGCCAGCTCTTACCTGGCACTGATACAAATCATACAATGACAAAGGCTGTTAAGTCCAAAGCTTTGTTTTAATTTGAACCCCTAATATTCAGGGGGTTAGAGAGCTGCTCCTGAGCAATAGAAGCTCCCCTCCCCCTTTTGAAATGGTTAAGCTGGATGTTTGTCCATTTTCCAACATTTTATATAAAATGCCCCTTTTTTTCCCCCAAAAGAAAACATGGCCAGTGGGAGATTTGCCTGAGTACCCCAGTAATTCCTCCAGTATATTCAGCAGCCTCATACTGGTAGGGCCTGGCTTTCAAAGGTACTGAGCACTTGGAGTTACTGTTGACTTTCTAGCTGGAGTTGAGGCTAGCTGACACCTGCAGCGATCAGATAGTTAATGTATTAATATAGCAGACTCCTTAGTCTTGGGCATATTCTGATAATAAAAACAACTTGTACTGAAATGCCAAGCACCGCGTGCGTAAGAATGAGATGGAAATGGCCGCTTCTGCAGTATAAATTGTAGTTATTTTTATTAGCCACTTTCAGAATGAATGGATACAATACACAATAGGGGTGAATTATCCTTTGAGGCTAGGCTAAACCTGAATGTCTAATGTAACAACAACAACAAAAAAAACCCCAAGGAGAAAACAATACCCTCCCAGCCCATCATAAAGAAGCCAAGAAAATAAAAGGCACAAGCCCAATTTCTTTTTTCCTTGCAGGTCACCTTTAAATATACAGAAAAACGTGTTACACGATTCAGTTATTTCCTCTGAAAAATAGATTGTTAGCTAAGGAACTTGTATTAGAATTACTCTAGGGTATGTTACTTATGAGAGTCACATCATAGCGACGTTTGTGCTTGTGTTATAAATATGTTAGATGCTTTTATTTCCTCTTAGGGAAGTCAGATTCTGTATCAAAGCCCCCGGTATTCAATCTGTATGGTAGTAACGCCCAGCCTAGGTCCCACTGAGGTGAAGAACGCTGCGTGTTTGCATCCCGTTATGCATGTGCTTACATAGCCTGCTGAATCAGGGCCCAAGTGAATAATTCCAGCTTGGATGGCTGATCATCGCTGTGATTATCATCCCGGAGATGTTTAAACAGATCCATGCTCTTGAGAACTTGAGATCTCAAATCACAGCTCCCCGGGATACTGATGCTGAAATTGGTAATGAGATATGGATGGAGGCGTTTGGCATTAGGTCACTGGTTGAAATCCAGCGCATGTCACTACTGAGTAATGACCAGCAATTTTTGCAAGTAGTGCAGCAATATGAATAGAGACCTAAGCAGTTTAATCAAACAGCTCTTGGCCAAATTCTGCTTTGGCTAATTACATTCTGCCAGTGCGGTTTTGGCTGTACACATTCCCCCTGGCACAGAGTTAAACTTTTCTGTAGTTCTGCAATGGGCTTCTTAATAGTTGCAGCTTTCTTCCCCAGAGAGGGAAGCATTTCAGTAGCAATGTGAAGCAATTTCTCTTTGATTAATAATTGGAGCAAAACTGGGTCCTGAAGCCACAGCCTGAGTGGGGAGAGGGGTGTGATAGGAATATAAGTACTGGGCCCCAGAGATCACAACTACTGTCTATGAAGCGAGGGCATTCTTTGCTACTGAGAGACTGGCTTAGTTTTTCACAGGAGCACAAGGCCAGCAGTGAGGCTAAACTTCAGTTTGATTGCCAAGATAGGCCTGGGAGGACTGCATTGATGGCAGCTCAAACACTGTAACAAGCATCTGTCCTTCTGATGGGGCCTAATATAGAAGTAAGGTTCCTGGTTTCTTCCCTTTAGTCCTTTTCTGCCCAGGGGCCAGATCCAATCAAGGTCATTTGCATCAAGATGAGCCAACAGTGTGCCCTCGTTGCAAAGAAGGCTAATAGCATCCTGGGCAGCATTGGTAGGAGTGTTGCCAGCAGATCAATTATTCCCTTCTATTCATCATTGGTGAGGCCACATCTGGAGTCCTGTGTCCAATTTTGGGCCGCCCACTGCAGAAAGGATGTGGACAAATTAGGGAGAGTCCAGTCGAGGGCAGCAAAAATGGTTAGAGGGCTGGGGCGCATGATTTATGAGGAGAGGCTAAGGCAACTGGGCTTATTTAGTCTGGAGAAGAGAAAACGGAGAAGGGATTTAATAGCAGCCTTTAACTATCTGAAAGGAGGGGTTTGAAAGAGGATGGAGCTGGACTGTTCTCAGTGGTGACAGATGATAAAACAAGGAGCAATGGGCTCAAGTTGCAGCAAGGGAAGTTTAGATATTAGGAAATTAGATACAAGTTAGATGTTAGGAAAATCTTTCTCACTAGGAGGGTGGTGAAGCACTGGAACAGGTTACCCAGAGAGGTGGTGGACTCTCCATCCTTGGAAGTTTTTAATACCAAGCTAGAAAAAGCCTTGGCTGGAATGATCTAATTGAGGAAGGTCCTGCTTTGAGCAGAGGTTGGACTAGATGTGACCTCCTGAGGTCCCTTCCAACCCTCATTTTCTAAGATCTTTAGAAGAGACTGAATAACCCAGGCACTGCAACAGCACCTCTCACCTTACAGGCCCCTTGGAAGAAAAGTCCATTCCATGGCAACCTCTTGTATTACTTCCCAGTAAAACACAGTGTACCATCACCTCACTCACTGTTGTATCAACAAATTTAACAACATAACCCCTGCAGTGTCCCTTACCCAGGTATTACTGTTACATCTATTGGCAATGAGAAATATGATGCACAGTTCTTACAAAGAAAAGGCCGGATGCTGTTACTGCTGCCTTCGCCAGTCTGATCTCTGGGATAATACTACCCCTAACATTACTGAGCAGTTGATTGTTCTGTAGTTGTCACAGCCAGAGGGCACAAGCTGGGAGGAGAAACACTTGAGAGTTTAATATTGCCTGGCACTTTCCCCATCCTTGCCAAAAATGTTAGGTGAGAAGTAAATGCAATAGCCTGCCCTGTGCATGTCTTGTAGTCTGGGACACAACTTGTGAAAGCTCAGAGCCAACTTGTGCCTCTTGCACTGGTGCAGAGGGGTGATTTAGCCTGCCTCCCCCGCACTGTGAATCAAATTCACCCTCCTGCAAACAGCTGGCAGAAAAGGCATTTGCATCTCTTAAAGCCTGCAAGTGCTTCTATTTCTAGCTTAGTCATTCTTATCTAAACGCACCTTAAATGTTTCCCAAACCATAGCCTGCATTGCTGATAACAAGGTGGAGGCTCATGTGGGGCTTTAGCAACACACAAGCTTTGTGTTTGGGAAAATTGTTTTTCCTAGGCAAGGGCTAGACAAAATTACAGTTTGTAGTCACCTATGGGGAAGCATTTCTTCCAGCTAAGTTTCTGCGGGACAGCCATCACACCAAACTGAGCCATAGGTGCGGCTTGGCTCCATTTCTTAATGCATAAAACAGGAAGAAGGCACATTGGCTACCAGCAAAACTGTCTAGGCAAGTTAGCATCTAACTTCAGTGTTGTGTCTCTATTCTAGGTTCTTGATGAAGCACTGAAGATTTGCAATTACATCTTCACTGTCATCTTTGTCTTGGAGTCGGTGTTCAAGCTGATTGCCTTTGGGTTTCGCCGGTTCTTTCAAGACAGGTAACAAAGGTTAAATCCTTCCAGTCTGTGACAGCAGCAGGGTCTCCAGAGATAATGGCTCCAAACTCTGCAGTGATGTAGATGTTGGTGAAAGCTGTGCGTTTATGCCCTGATGCTCTTCTCGCTGCACTAGTGTCACACCAGCACAGCTTCAGTGGTGTGATTCTGCGAGCGGAGAATCAGGCCCTGATTTAGAGAAATGATGTGAGTGTGTGAAGGAGGGCAAAGTGCACTCATTTGGCTTCCATGGGTGTGCAAAATGAGTGCAACTTTCACGGTGAGTGGCTTGTTCTCATCTCACGCATGTTTGATACGAGCGTATCCCTAATGACCTCAGTGGAGCTCATTTCGACTTGTGCTGAAAGAATCAGGCCCTGAGGGAGGGTTTCATAAGCAGAGAGGCAACTAAAAGGAGCGTGCCAGTGTAAGCAGGGATGGGGCCTCTCCTTACATAGCCTCCAAAGAGCAGATCGGTGCAAGCTGCTGCTTCGTGTGCAGTTGCACCCTCTTACTTACATACTTGTAGCTGACAGATAACTTGTGCTGCTGATGTATTGGTCTTGTGAGATCCCTGGATGTAGCATAGGGCCTATATCTAGTCTGGTATTCTTTGTATATTAGCATACAAGAGATCTTTCCCCCCACTGGAGAGGTCCTGTGATGTGATTTACAGACCTGGAGGAAGGCTAGGCATTAGTTTCTGTTAGCATAGGAATTACGATATCTATCCATTTAACGCTGCCTCCCTACTCCTTTCTTCTCTCACTTTTCCTCTTCCTCGAGATGACAGTTGAGAGCATGTCAGACTTTCACGTACCTGGGGAAATCATTTCACCCCTACATGTCACTAGTCTGCCATCAGTGTTGTGATCAACCTTTCTATCTGATCTAACACAAATCTTTCTGCTCTGCTTTTCACTGTCATCTCACGCTGGTACCACTCCGCCTGTCCCCCATGATTGTGATATAATAACTAGGTCAAACCCCACCGATTTTACGCGGGCAAAAGTCCCGTTGAGCTTTGTGAGTTTCTTTGTATGGAAAATGGCTGAATGAAGGGTGCAGGTGTTTGCCTGATGTCTGCATTGTGCTGGGCATGAGGATCGGTCTTGGTTTTTATTAGTTTTATTTTTGTCGTTGTTTGTTGCAGCGAGTGAACAAGGCCTTCAGAGTTGGTTCATTCTCTAGCCTAACAGCTGTTTTGTATACCCCTCAGAAATGTTTCAGGAGTCATTTGAGTTTGTGAGTAACAGAACCACTGAAATGACTGGAATTAACCAAAAAACTAAAAATAAAAAGGCACCCATTGCCCAATACCCTTAGTATGTTAAGCTTGACTTTGTGTTGTCTTCAGATGGAACCAATTAGACCTGGCAATAGTGTTGCTGTCTATCATGGGTATAACTTTGGAAGAGATCGAAGTGAATGCATCGTTGCCCATTAACCCCACTATTATCCGGATCATGAGGGTCCTAAGGATTGCTCGAGGTAAGACAGAGTCAATGCACAAGTCGGTCTTATTTGAGGTGCGGCGTGCCCTCCGTAGCATGCTTTTATGTTGGGTAATAACCGTGCGGTGCGTCCCCGTCACAACATGCTTTTTTTGGCATCAACAAGCTGTAAACAAAGGAACACAAAGAAGAGCCAAGGAGCTGGGCTTTGTATTTCTTAAGAGCTTGCACAGATCTAGATCTAAAAAATGAGGATAATTCACTAGAAATGCAACTGATGGGTAAGCCAAGAAAAGCAAAAACATGGCACGCCGGTGAAATCAAGCCTGTCTCAAATACCCGGGAGTCAAATGGGGGTTTCAGGACAAAGCGTGGGGGTTGACATGGGGTTACAGTGACTGGATGAAACAAGATGGCTAATAAAGTGAAGCTCCTTTACTGCAGTACCTTCTCACCTACAGGGTGGGAGAACTTGTCTCATTCACTTTGCACCACCTGTATCTTCAGAATGGTAAAAACACCAGCCATCTTTGTAAGGCTTGAGGGCTAAGGGTATCATCATGGTTTAACTTCCTTTTATTGCAAGGTAAAAGCAAGCATGCGGATAGTTACAGGGGAGCAGATAATGTGCGTTAAAATCTGCCTCTACTTTGCCCCACAGTAACCGGTGCCTACACCCAGGCCAGTACTGCTTTGGGGTCTAATTTTCAAAAGAACTGAGAGCATACGCAGACTCCCGATTATGTCAGCGTGAGCTGCGAGTGCTCAGACTCCTAATGTTTGAAAACTGCTTAGGGATGACCCACCAGGGCATTTTTGTAGTGCAAAAGTACTATTATGAAAGTTATAACTGAGGAAAATAAAGAACAGAACTTAGATAAAATGTAGCTGAAGCTGAAAAGAAAAATTCAAGAGAAGGGTGAATTTTCTGCACTTTAGGTACATTTCAAAAGGGTAGAGTGTATGCAGTTTCCAAATGGAAACTCTTTTTTGGGGGGGGGGGTGTAGAAAAGAGTATGTATAACACGCATGAAATCAAGCAGCGATACCACTCAAAAGGTAGCTAGAGGAAGAAAAGGATAGAGGTCAGAGAATGGAAGAAGATATTTCTAGACGTGCGTGTTAGCACTGAACTGAAGAACTCCACTGGAGACGCACATAATGGACCAATTTTTTCCTAGGATAAACACCACTGAAATCTCTGGGATGAATTTGGCTGGGTAATTGTTTAGCTGTAAGCAGAAGTTGAAAGGAATGTGCATCTGGTGCATGACCTTTCCAAACCTGGTTACTTCACTCAGTGGCAATAGTCACCGTCAGAAGAAAAGGTCATTCTTACATTCCTAGCATTGTGTCAAAATTGCCCAATTCAGCAAGAGAGAGAGAGCAGCGATTCTTTCCTGGCGTCTCAGAATGCAGGATGCTTTTATGTACCAGATCCTAGCAGCATTCAGACAACCTAGAGCTCTATAGCAAGGCCTTGAACTCAAGTCGCTAGTGGAGAAAGTGTGACATAATTTCATGCTCAGCGGATCTTTCTATCTCTATAATCTGTGGCTGTTTTGAAAGGGATGCATCTGTGTCTCCACATTAATGCTGCAGCAGTAATATTGTGCACATATTTTCTGCAGTGTTGAAGTTGCTGAAGATGGCTGTAGGGATGAGAGCCCTGCTGGACACAGTCATGCAAGCCCTGCCTCAGGTAACCCACTGCCTTATCAGAGAGATCTGGCCAGGTCCAGAGCTAACTCTCTATTGCACAGGGATGCTCTTCTCTACCTCTGTTTTGTCAGTAGGGACATGTGTTTCCTTTTAGAGGTGCAAGCTGAGATGTTGTCTACCTCTTATTAGGGTCATTTCTTCAGTCAGGCAGTTTAAATTTTGGATTAAAGGATTTAGCAAGAAACTGGCCTGAAGGAAAAAAAAACAGTGAATGTCTTCGTCTTCCTCTTCCCCGCCCCACATCTTTTTTTCTTTTTTTTTTCCCCCTCTTTCCAGGTTGGCAACCTGGGTCTTCTCTTCATGCTGCTGTTCTTCATATTTGCAGCTCTTGGAGTGGAGCTCTTTGGAGATCTTGGTGAGTTCCTCACTTCTTCCATCACAGTTGCAGGAATTGAAGGGATGTCGCTGTTCAGAGGGGACATATGAGAGAGCGGGCATTTAATAGAGGTTCTTCTGGTTGATCTCACAGAATGCAATGATACTCACCCCTGTGAGGGGCTTGGGCGGCATGCAACATTTAGAAACTTTGGGATGGCCTTTTTGACTCTCTTCCGAGTGTCAACTGGAGACAACTGGAATGGGATAATGAAGGTAAGAGATCCTCGCTTGTCTGTCTCCTCCAAAACAATAACCAAGATCAGTGGGGGCACTCAAGCGGTGACAGTCTGTAGATAGAAGGACTTGGCATTTTCTTCTTCCCCTTCCTACACAGTAGTGCAGGGGCAGGCAACTATTTTGGGTGGAGGGCCGCTTTTTGGCAAGCCATCGAGGGCTGGCTGCATGACAGGCAGCCAGGGGCAGATAAATATTAATTTTCTAAACTTTTAGGGGCCCCACGGGCCAGATAGACTGGTCTGACGGGCAGCATCCAGCCCCAGGCTACATTTTGCCCACCCCTGCAGTAGTGCCTGCGTTTGCAGGCCCTCAGGATACATCATATATTCCCAGGCTTTTCCTGGGGTAATGGTTGGAAGAGTGGGAGACTATCTCAACTGAGTAGCATATGTTAAGGGTTTTTTAGTAAAGGAGTCTAGAGTCTCTAACAAGTAGAAGAAGATATAGAGAATTGAGGAGCCAAGACGAACAGGTTAAAGGAGTAGGTAGCCAGTATCTACTGTAAATACTGAAAATAGGAGTTTTCTTTGGACCTGTGCACAGGGCAGTATTTCTAATGCCTCCTCTTCCCCAACGCACACATTTTTGCTCTGCACCCCTGTGCCCTCACCCGGCTATTACTGCTACACCTATTGGCAATGAGAAATACGATGCACGTTACTTATAAAAAAGGGCCAGATGTTGTTACTGTTGTTACTGCTGCCTTCTCTTGCCGGTCTGATCTTTGGGATAATACTACCCAAGATTGTGGTCAAGGTTTTGTTGGTGCATGGTTTGTCTTTCCAAACACATCTGAAAATCTTTCATGCAGCGAGCCTAGTCTCCTCTGCATGCCAACTAGAAAATAATCCATTCATCCAGCAGGGACGGATCCCACACGACTGACTGGAGATTTCCCAGTTAACTTATTTTCCCCCTTGTTGCCAGGACACACTACGAGACTGTGACCAGGAGTCTACCTGCTACAACACAGTCATCTCACCCATCTACTTCGTCTCCTTTGTGCTGACGGCCCAGTTTGTCCTGGTGAATGTGGTGATTGCAGTGCTCATGAAACACTTGGAGGAGAGCAACAAGGAAGCTAAGGAAGAAGCGGAGCTAGAAGCAGAGCTGGAGATGGAGATGAAGACGATAGCTCCAGGCCAACACCCTTCCTCGGACCTCTTTGCGTGGACAGGCGGTAATGGTGGAGATAGGCCTGAGAGCCCCAAAGGATGTACCAATCCCATGCAAATCAAGGTGGATTCTCAGCTCTCATTATTTTATCCTATGGTGAGGATCTCTGGTGGAGGGTGAAGAGGGGGTTGGCTTGCCTATTTGCTAATAGAGGACGTGCACGAATTCTGTGATGAAGGACTGGGTGTATGGTGCATTGGGAGTTGTATTCCTTACTATCTGTTGTCAAAAGATATGCCCTGAGGTAGAGATCCCAACCAAGTCTTCACATCTGGTATGGTGCAAAGAGTTCTGCGCGCTAGAGATGGGCCCAAACCACACAGTTCAGATCTGTCTCCATCTTTAGGTAGCGCTCAGTCAGTACGCTTTGGCCAAACCCCTGCATGGTTTGTAAAGAAAAATATATGACAAGCCTTTCCCACCTTCTCCTCCCACTTACATGCTGGTAAATGTGAAGTGAGTGGAGCTACGCTGATGAAGAGCAAGTAAGAGGCCAGAATCAGGCCCAAAAGTTTCTAATGCAAATTGCATATGAATAAAAGGGTACAAAAAATAACCCGCTCTTGAACCCCTGTTGTGCATTAAATAGGAGATTTTGATTTCTCATTATTGAGGTTAAAAAAGCATCCAGGCCTGATGACTGCTTTTATGGATAGATAGACAATGTATTTATAATCTTTAGCCTAGGAATGAAGAGAGAGTAAAACCTTTAAACTTGTTTTCAAGCTCTGAAGCACTAGAAAGCATCTCTTGCTCTTAGGCAGACAAAACTCTTGGGGTAGAGGCAGTATCTTTTATTAGACCAACTCAATAGTTGCAAAAAAAATAAATCTTTACTTGCAAATTAAAATGTTTTTTGCAATGGTCTAATAAAAGATAACACCACTACCCCAAGAGTTTTGTCTGCTTATGCCTTTAGTTCAACATGGCTGCAACTAATATCTCTTGCTCTTGAACACGGGTGTAGGATGGATCCCAAACCCTACTTGCCAGCACAGGGAAAAGTGGCTCAGAGCAATGTGGGGGAATCTCCTGCTACATTGCATCTTGCTGTCCTTTTAAAAAGAAGCACCATCACTGACCACAGCAAATACTGGCTCCAACTTGGCTCTGCTGCTATGTAGCATGCAAGAGCATTGGATCGCCTTGCCCTGCCCCGTACCTGCCAACTAGCGCGGGTGTCTGCCAGAGGGTGAGATTTCCCCCTTTATCTTTTACACCCGTCTCGTTCAGTCTTTCTTGAGAGCATCCACCGTACTTCCTGCTACCATGTTTTCTCACATACAACACAACTTTTTTTTCCAAAAACTAGCTGGTGAAAATTGCAGGGCACACTGCATGTGAGGAAAAACAGCAAACACGGTTTCCGCTGCTTACTGGGCAAAAGCAAGAGTAGAGTTTGCAGGCGATTCACAGAGAGCAGAACAACGAGCAGGCTTAGCTCCCAGTCCCTAGCTGCTGCAACTCAGTTACATTCTATAAGAAAAGGTCTTTTTTCCTTCGTTCTGCCTTTCTAAAGCAATGGATGTGAGAACTGGATGCAACGGATGTGAGAAATACGGTATTCTGTAGGTGGGCATATGTTACAGATCATACTGCCAGATTAAGAAACAAGTAGGTGAACTGTACTGGGACAGACTTGAAGAACCTGAACTGTCTTTTCTTTAGAGATGGGTGGGTGGGGTAAGGGAAGAGTCCATTCCTTATAGACATTTCCAGATGGTATTCATTGCTCTTTCCACCAAAACAGATGCCTTGGAAATCTCAGGAGGGCTTGATTTTGAAACAATCACGACGCTTTTGTTTCCTTTCAGTCAAAATCTCTGCAACAAATCTAGTGCTTGAATGCCTGATGGTAGCGGAATACAATTCCCAGAGTGCAAACCTGCAAGGGCATGTGGTCAGCATGCTCTTTTGCTTGCCTAATCCCTAGAATATTTGTACTGCGTGCCATTTAAGTGTAATGATGGTCCTTGTTTCATTGTATATATCAGATCTTCCCTATACAAAAGGAATAGCTTTTAAATGACTGCCTTACTGTTTGTGAAAATGGGATCTCACCGCATGCAACATTCCCGTGGTGTACGTTACGGCCAACGCTGTGAAGTTGGCCGTCTGATGTTAGAAATCTGAACCCAATATTAAGGCACCTAAGCTAGTGGCCTGATATTTGCTGTGGCTGAATATCCCTAGTTGCCAAGAAGAGGTGAGGAGTTTCAGCACCTCTGATCATGAGGCAGCTTTCATTCATGGGAAGCTTCCCTGGTCAAGAGAGTTGGCATAGGGGTTTCTAGAAACTCTTTTAGAAGTTTCTCTTTTAGAAAGTCACCGAAAGAAGCAAGAGGCTTCTGCTACAATGGCCCTGCTAGGATTCTGCAACGTATAGGAATAGCCGGGGATGGTCATTCAGGATGAGAGCAGTTCTGAAGATGGGCCAGCACCTAAACCATCACAGATCTCCAGGGTGTTCGGCGTTGGTCCCATCTCTGGCAAAGTCGGAGAAAGCGTTCACATCTGACTGTGATATTACTGCACTTTTTCTCTTTCCTCCTGTCTTGTACTTCCCCTTCCTGCTCATTTCTGTTCCTACCATTCTCTCTGAAAACAACTCCTTTTTCTTCTTTGGTTGGCTTTTTTTCCCCTGTCCTCCTCTCTCCCTGTCTCTGTCCCTCACTCTCTCTCTCTCTCTTTTTTTTTGGCCTGCTTTATCCTCCTGCATGCTATACGACACTGCTCCCAGGAAAGGCACTTGTTTGATACCCTATCACTGCTGATCCAGGAATCTCTGGAAGGAGAGTTGAAGCTGATGGACAACCTGTCAGGCTCTGTGTGCCATCATTATGCCCTTCCAGCTCCTGAATATTACAACTCTGAGAAACAGGTTAATATTCCTCATTTCCTGCACAGTCTCCTTCCAAACTCAATTCGAGTGAGACCTTTATGACAAATTTTAAAGTGTTTACTTTATCTAACAAGGCCATAGGGTTTTTTAACCTTAAAACCACACGGGCTTCTTGTATGGGAGGGCAACTTCATTCCTCTTGTTTAAGATGTTTTATAGTCTAGCTAGAGCAGGAGTTCAGCATTTACCATTTCCTCCTTTGTGCAGTAAATCCCAAACTCGGTTATTCCCTGCAGGAGCATCATTTGGTGGGGGGAGGACCAAACAAGCCGTGGCCCTGATTCTGTAACTGGGCTCTTGAGTTCAAACCCTTGCTGCTGCATGGGGCACCGACCATGCAGATTGGATTATAGGGTGGACGGCCTTGGGCCCGAATCCAAGGTGCTGCATATGGGCCTTGCGTCTCTCTGTTCCTGTATCTATTTACACAGCTGAGGCTCACGCTCCATAAGTTTGTCTGAAGAGGTCTCTTGCAAGTAGAGCTGTGTAGCCTCAACACCGGCCACCAATCTGAAGCCCAATTCCTGGTAGCAAGAGACAGCTCTTAATGAAACCCTTAAAACGAATCCCTCACTTCAGTGCTTTCATGTATAAGAGTGAACTTAAGCATTTGCTTTCTTGAATTGGGACCTGAAAGCATTAAACTAAAACCAGAAAAAGCATTTCCCTCAATCATTCTAGCTGAAATACAAACCCTGCTCACTCACAGTCCAAAACCCCTTAGAGCAAATTAGGGAGTAATAATAATTCAACCCCCCTCGTTTTTTCCTGTCATTTTCATTTTGATTAGTCAAACTGTAATATTTATTGTAATTTTTTGCTTAAGGGATCTGAAGATTTCTCATTAAATCAGTTAGAAGTAAACTTATTTACCACTTCACCGAGAACCAAGTACATGTTTGCTCTTCATTAGGGAAGAACAAGTTTAGATGAAATGAAGACTATGTGCAGTTTTCGATATGGAGCGTATTGCAGTGTAAGGCTTCCTTTAGGGCCATTACACCAACTGGGAATCACTAATGTCCACCACACTGGCCCCTTTTCTCTTCAACGTGGCTTGATTTGGAGGAGGGTACAGAACCAGTTCTTTGACATTAGGAATCCCTCGGTCATGATGAGGGGGTGTTCTCCAGGGAATTCAGTGGGTGTCTTTCTGGTTTCTCTGTACTGCCACAGTTGGATTTAGGGTCAAGTGGACTTGACCCTGTTGTTCCTGGTTTTAGCTGCTTCCAGAGCTCTGAAATATAAGAGGCATTGTTCTGGTATTTCTGGTGCTAGAGGGACATGCTAGAAATCCCCCAGAAGAGCTTTTACTGGGGAGATAACTAACTATCCCCCTGTCACAGATCCAGAGTTGGGAGAGAACCAAACCTCTGATTCTTCTGAGGTTCTCCCATCACTAAACCCATATGCTTGAATGCCATATCCAAAACAGAGTAGGGGAAGAACCAGCTTTTTGCCAGGTTAGATAAGGCTCTGTGCTCCCTGGCTTCTCTTGAAAGATTTATTATTGAAATCAACCATTCAGATGCTTAAAATGCACATGCTAATCCTCAGGTTTAAGAAATGAAACAGTTTTATTGGGAAGCCATCTGGATGTTTGCCTTGGAGTAGAGCAGGGGTGGTCAAGTATTTCGGGCAGAGGGCTGCTTACTGAGCCATCAAGGGCCGCATGCCAGGCAGCCAGAGGCAGATAAATATTAATTTTCTAATTTTTTTAGGGGCCCCGCAAGCCAGATAGGATAGCCTGGCAGGCCACATCTGGCCCATGGGCCGCATTTTGCCCACCCCTGGAGCAGAGGGTGATGGAGCCTATGTGATCAGCTTTTTGTCTTGTCTTATTGAAACATTCCCTTACAAACAACTCTTCCATAGACAAGACCATAACAATCTCCAAGACAAATATCAGGGTTTGGGGGAGATATATGGGAAGGCCAAACCTACCCTCTAAGCACAACATCCAGCTGTGGGGCTGCTGACAGCAGTGCGTCAGCTTTATTGGGAAAAGATCAACCTCTTCTGTTGAGATGTCCCACTAGGGCTCAAAGTAATAAACTGTGTTTCTTAGAAAGCCTGATGTGTCTGAGAGGGATCTTAGTCTGCCTGAAATCAGAGTGTATACAAATAGAAGAGTCACAATGCCAATTCCCGGCTCTGTTGTTGACTTGCTGTAGCCCTGGGGACGTCGATACGAGGTAGGCTTGAAAAGATATTTAGTTCCCTAAAGATGCAGATGGACAACTACAGAATTGCCTACCCAGCTTAGCCACCTAACTCATGGGAATGGCCAAACCCTAGAAGGCTCTCATTGACATCAGTGGACTTCCAGGTAGCGTCATTTATGCTAATACCAGCCTCTCATGGTGTGTAAAGACTCAATTAAACTTTGTAAAGCTTTTTGAGGTCCAACTATGAAAGATGCTGTTATACAGGTGTCATCCTTTTCACCCCCATACAACTGCACATTATTGCCTCCTTCCCTTACAATCTTGGGTTGAGGGAAGCTTTTGAGGAGCCAAGCAAAATAAGCTAGTGTCAAACAGAATTGGGATGCTGCCATAGCATTTAACATTAATGGGAGATATCTGAGAAATATGGGGTTTTTCCAAGCATCTAATACTTAGTTGTAGCCAGAATAATAAATATAGCTAGCATCTAGGCCAATGATACTTTTAGTTTGCAATTGGTCACAAAGAAACCCATCTGTCTTGCAACACATTTAGTCTACCATTTAGTGCACAGTTATAAATTCCTCTATGAATTGTTTGTAAGTATTTAAGTTAAGTATTTAAGTATGAATGTGATTTTTCTTTCTTTTTTCTTTTTTTTTTTTTAACACCATTTCTTTATAGTTTGATCCACTGTAACAGCATGCATGATGTAGATGTTCTTATTTTAGGGATAATGTTTTAGTGTCTAGATTATGATACTTTTTTTTTCTTTTCAAAATATTTCTGTCCTGGTTTCTTATGCTTAATCATCTCTCCCTTGTTTAGATCCCTCTAGCTGAGATGGAGGCTCTGTCTCTGACGTCAGATATTCTCTCTGAAAAATCCTGGTCCTTAGCTCTGACGGATGACTCTTATCCTGATGATACTAACACACTCTTACTTAATGCTCTGGAAAGCAATGTACATACACTGGTCACTGTATAGTCTGATGTTTTGCAGGGCTCTAAATACTGCATAGTTAATCCTAATGGCATTTTCAGTTCGGCCATTTTTGCAACCAGCACCGTACCTGGTATCTAAACAGGATGCTGTCTTTAATGCTATTTGGCTTAGGGCTACAGTTGGTCTGGCCAAAAAAGCTGGCTCCTTGGGGAAAATGCGTATTTGTTTTTCTACATTTTTTTTTTTTAATCTTTAATTAAAACATTACATTTTCTTCAAGTAAAATCAATAGCAGAAAAGCATTGAAAAGTGTGGCTTGTGCCACTTCCTCTCCGTCTGATACCAATCTTGTTGGTGTGCAGAAAAAACATGGCCTCGAGCAAGTGTGCCCCGAATCAGTGGGGGCTATGCACATCCCCTTTGTTTGGTACTGATTATTTTGGAGCAACAGAGGCACCCCAGTGCTTTGCTGATGGGTGCCAGATTAAAAAACAAAACACTGAAACGCACCAGATGTGGATTTCTTGGAGATGCTCGATTTGTGAACCCTTGTGAGCAATCATCTCAACCTGAAAAATATTCGGTTTCGTATCATTTTGGTTTTTTTCCCAAAGAAGTTACCAGTATTTTGAGCCCTGATTTAACCATCTGCTCTTTGAAACATTAGACATTTTTAGCTGATGTGTAGCAGTCAAGTGCTTTTTTTCTGCTGTTCAACAGACATGACTCTTCCAACATTTTTTGGATCCATCCTTGTTTTCTCTGTGGTTGTCCATTTACCTACTTTTGGATGTTTGTGTTGTTGATAAATTTTCTATCATTCTCATTGATTGTCATCCTAATTACTTATTTGGGATACATCTCCTTTAAACCGTGACAATATTTCCCATCATGCTTCATGGTATCACGTCCAAAAGACTTTGTAAACTGCATTTAACATTTTTGTATGGAACATGTTGTTTCAAAATTAGGTGTCAACTGGAGATGAGCTAAAGAGAACGCTGTTCGAATCTTGATCCAGATTAAGTGAAGACTAGGTTTTTGACAATCATGTAATGTCAAAAATGTCACCTAGGTGACATTTTTTCGCCTAAATTTTCATTCGCCAAAAAAAAATGCCAACTTAGGTTGACCAAAATGTCATAAAACCGTGTCAATTTTGACAACTTGTTTCGGTTGAATTTAAAAAAAAAGAAGAATCTCAAGGCTTTTGAAACATTGAAACATGCTGATTAAACATATCCTACATGAAATGTTATTTAGTTTAGAAAAGTACCCCAATTTTATTTTATTTTTTTAATTACCAAAAATGAATAAGACTCTTTTAAGAAACATTTGGATGTCTCTCTTGCTGGGATCCTTTGACCCCAGCTGACTTCCTGCCCCTGGGGCAGGGGGCTGGACCTGATGATCTTCCCAGGTCCCTTCCAGCCCTAATGTCTCTAAAATCTATGAATAATCTATGAATAAGTTTATTTTTATTTTTGATTCACCAAGATATTTTTTTTCTGCAATTAATTTTAAGCAAACCCGAAACAGATCCCCACCCCACCCCCTTGAATTACTGAGCCAAAAATTGCTTATTTGCACAGGTCCATTTGGTTCCTGCTTTCATGGGATCATCTTTCAGCCATTTTAAATGGCTTTTATGAGATTAGCTGCTATCACAGTATTTCTGCTGTATGGGTTGCTATCTCACAAGATTCAGCCAAATAGGAAATAACCCCTTCTAGGTCTGGAGCCCGCCTGGGAAACTAAACAGGAAACACGGTTCTGATTCTGGTCTTGAAATCAGTCTCCCCTTCAAATCCAAATGGATTTGAACATTAAGTTCCTATTTGGGGGTCATCTCTAGTATTATGGGCATCATAATGTACAGCGAAAGATGTAAGCATACAGCTTGGGGGAAGGAGAATCAGAGGATTTCAAAGCAGATGTGTCAGCCCTGCTACAGTAGATTCCTCCCTTCTTGTTCTGAGTTATAGCAAAGTCTGTAGCCCCCAATGGAGCTAGTGTGCTTTTAAACCATCAAGTTCATGAGCAGTGAGTGTACTTGGATATGCCTGGCTAAATTTACAGCAGTGATCTCTCTCTCTCTCTCTCTCTCTCTCATTTATTTCTTTATTTCTTTATTTATTGTAAATTCCATTTAATCTTGTCGTGTTTTACTGTATCTACAACATACTGTAATGAAATTTTGCTCTGGCTGTTCTAAAAACCTCTGAACTTCTAGTCCAAAAAAAATTGTAACACATGGAGCAAGTGAAAGATTTGCCAGTAGAGGATGATTAGGTTACCCTGAAAGGAGGGGACGAGATGTGTACTTTATTGAGCTCCTTGGCATGCTTGTCCACTTTCTGTGATTTCTGATGGAGTCTTTTGTAAAGGAAGTATTTCTTTTGTTAGAAATACAACACCAAGTTTACTTTCTTTCCACTTTTGATAATACCTTACAACTGTTTTTTAGACCAGAGGAGTTGCCCTACTGACTCAGACCCAAAGTCCCTCTAGTTCAATATCAGGTCTCTGGCAGAAGCCAGTACCAGATGCTTATGAAGAAGGTTGTAAGATCCCCTGCAGCGGGCAGATGTGTGATAATCTGTCCCCTACGCTAGGTTTTATCCTAATCTCTAATAATTAAAGAGAGCGAAAGCCCTTAGGCCCAGGATTTACTTTCCCCATCCAAAAAGCATTTGATTTAATTACTTATTATATGAAAAGCAAAGAAAACCAATAAAATTATCCTGGAAGTCAAAGCCAACATCTTCTGTCAACTATACTTTTTTTCTCAATTGTTAGAAGAAGGAATTACTATTCTGTACTAACCTTTGCAAAAGTCTAACTTGCTTAGGAGGGCACCAATAGAAGACGTTATTATTTTTTTATGATAAAAGTTATGCAAAGCATGTGACTCTTGCGGCGCCTTGAGGCATGATGCCCCTTTCAAGTATTCCTGAAATAGTCATGGTTTATTACTAGTGTTGCTTCCCTCTGTTTCTGTGGTTCATTCTGTGTGACGATTTATTGACAATACAAAATGCGGGGTACAGCTTCCTGGTCAATCCATTCGTGCATTTTGTTTCAGTAGAACTTGTACATATTGACGATTTGCATGTCCATTGTGCCCCATATTTCTTGCAATGGCTGTAACTAGGGCTTCCAGGTGCCTTGTGTCTTCCAACTCTGTGATGTTTCCTCTCTCTCTTCTTTCACAGACCAATTTCCACTCCAAAAATGACACTCTGACTCTGTCCCCCAGCAAGGACCTCCTGAGTGTGAGAAAGCCTTCCGTTGGCCGCACACATTCATTGCCAAATGACAGCTATATGTTTCAACCTCCATACTCTGGCCCCTGTGCTGGCACCCCGGGAGAGAGGAAGCCATCCTATCTCAAATCTCAGTCAGGTACAAATCTTTCACCTCTGTTAATACCGGGGCTTTCAAAACTGCCTGGATTTGGAAACCAAATTTCCATTCATTTTTAACGATGACCTGATGTCTAATGCATCTTTGAAAAGCCCACCCAGAAGGTATACTAAAGAAATAAGCTGGCTGGAATAATCACTTACTGCAGGTGAGCTGTGCACCCATAGGGAGCTGAAACTTTTTTAAGGGTTCAGACAGAAGGAAGGGACTGGACTGTGGGGAGGGCAGGATTTGTAGGTCGGCTGTATTTAATCCATCTCCCATCTGGCCTTCAAGGTTCACGGCTGTTAAGAACTGTGGGAGCCCCATCAGACTCGCACAAGCTATCTGGGACTTCCGAGCCAAAATCCCAGAGAAAACACATCTGTGAAAATATTTTTCTGCTGGTTTCTGAAATACGATGGTGTGGCCTGCTCTACCAGCTTTAGAGAGCTGGAAAACTGATGGGGAAAAATCAGACAGTGTCTCTAACTTTTATGCAATATATTGAATGAAAGGAGCTTTTAGGCTGGGCTGAATAAGTGAAAAAAAAATGATATGGGCAGTTGGGGCATCTGCTAGACACAGAAGCGCTGGAGAAATCCTCCCAAACTCCTTGTCTCAGGAGCACCCCAACTCAGTTTTGCAGACCTAGGAAGTATGAATAAGCTTCAGAGAAATGCCTGAGATTGGGGGTGTTTCGCCAGACAAAACTGTGCAGAACTTTTTCATGTTGAGCTCATCTCTCTCCATGGACCAAGAGAGGGGCATGTTTCCCCCTCCAAGTCTGGAGAGGGATAATTCATTCTTTAGAAAGATCAGCTTATTGAAGAATCGGGGCATTCTTTATTGTTTCACGGTACATGAGCCATGAACATTGCCCAAGACTGAGTCAAGCAGCGTGGCAAAGCCGCTGTCTCTAATCAGCCTCCTACTATTTACTAAAAGTGCATTATAAACTAATACAGATTATCCACATTGTGTGACCAAGTGTGACATAAAAACAAAAAGCAAAATAATAAAGAAATAAATCCCGTGGGTATGACAGAGTCCTTTGCTGCATCTTTCTCAGACTCTCCAGGGAAGGACTAATGGGTTACGTGTGTATGTGTGTGTCACAGCTACACGCAGCCCATGTTTCAGGGAGAGGCCTGCAGTTTTATAGCTAACCAGGCTGGGTGGCAGGAAATCCCAGCTCTACCACTGATTCTACATGCAACCTTGAGCCAAGTCTTCCCCCTTTCCTCCGAGGTCTTTTCTGCAAAAAGCGAAGAAGCAATACTTGCCTACATTAGAGACAGCCTTTGAGCCCGAATAGTTGTGATGCTCTTTGAAATACTGGGATGCATCACACGGTGGAAGCGCTTAGTAGTGCTGCTGTTCAGTCACACCACCCTCAGGGCTTGGATTAGAGCAATAACTGGTAGAGGTTGTGTTTAAAACATAAATCCCTTGTTTGAAGATGGAGTCTTATGCTGAAAGACTCTTTGATGAAGTTTACCAAGTGGAGCAGGAGGATTTTTAATTAACACAGAGCGCCAGGTTTTCATAGGCTTGTGCCACAAATTGTCTCTATAGTCAGTAGTATAACTGGTGGGGGGGCCAGCAGGGTGCCAGCCCAGGGTGCTGACTAATCAGGGTGTTGACTTAGGGTTTGTCTTGAATAAGGCAGGAAGGATTTCCCTGAATATTTCCACTTGCAAGTTTCTAACATGCCCATCATTTCAGTGCTGTTCAGCATGATAAAAGATGGGAACAGATTAGAAATGGGATGGGGAAATTTGCATAGCAATAAGCATTCAGATGCACAGCTACCATCTAACAGCTGAAATAAAAATGTAGAAACAGAGCAAAAGGAGTTTAGGATCAGGAGGAAGCACTGGCATAGTATGAAATATTAGGGCCTAATACTGTCCCTTTAAATGACCCATTCGAATGAATGGAAATATTTGGGGTAAAATCTTGGCCCCGCTAGCGTCAGTGGCAAAGGTCCCATTGACTTCAGTGGGGTTATTTTCAATTTTCTTGGAATCAAGGGTTTTTTTTGCTTTTAAGAAGGTCCTCATCTGTCTCTCCCAGTGCTGTGCATTTTACTGTTTGATCCAAATGGTCTTGTTCTTACCTTGAGCTTCATTCTAGTTTGCATGCAGCATGGAGGTTCTCCTTAGTCTTTCATTACCTTTACATCCCACTACCCATTCCCCTGTGTGGTAAAGTAAAAGCATTTGGCTGGTAACAATTAAGCAACAATCCTGGGAAATAGGATGAACGGTCCCATGTGGAAATAAGGAAGAGATGTTACAAGAGCTCATGTCAAGCTGTTTTGGACATTAATGATTCTGCTGGACCTTGACACGCTGGTATTTCGTGGCGTGCCGGTCACTGCAGCAGCTCAGACTTCACCGGCGCTTCAGAGTGAGGGCGTTGAGAGTAAATACGATTTTTCTAGCTGTGCTTCTGTAAGGCTCAGAAGACCTGACCTAGGCAAGGTTTACAGGAAAGACCTCTGTGAAAAAGCTGAAATGCTTCAGCAGATGGTCCTAGCCATTCACAAAGCACTCTTCCTTCTGAATCACTGCCCATCCAGGGAGACAGCACTGGAGTAGGGCTTTGCTGGTAGTTTAGCTCCACTCCAACTGGAAGCTTGTTGGTGGTCGCATGTAGTATCGTGGTAAGGGATATCGAGAAAAGTGTTGGAGCAATGTTGCTTAAGGGACCTGTGATAGATCCATTATTGAAAGCCACTGCTCGCATCCCGTCATGAAGCAGGCAAAGAACGGTGACATATATTGATGCGCATCCAGACTTCAGAAGGGTCCTCCACAGTGCTATTGGGTTGACAGTCAAAGGCTTTCAGCAGCAGCAGTCTCAGTCCTATCTTTAACTCCAACTAGTAATTACATCTCCATTTTTGTTCCCTGGTGCCCTGGCAGAATTCCCATTGCTCTAACCTGACACAAATTTTTACACCTCCTTATTGTTAAGAGGCCGTATAGCGTTGCTGGCATCTGCGCAACTGCTATCTCCCACCCAAGAAATGGCTTTTCCATGTTGAATGAAGTCATCCCACCTTGCTTATAGTTTGTAATATTGTAAAGTGCTATGAGCTTAGCAAAAGGAGCCATGAATCACCCATCAATGATAAACGACAATTCAGTATTTCAAACTGAAAGGGGTTTTTGTTGTTACTGTTGTCAGAAAACCTGGCGTTTGCAGGAGGTATTTGTTTTGAATATTCCTTCATAATGGGACTGTTGTTCTGGGAAATACTCCAAGACAAGTGAGATGCTCTGGGATGCATTCCAGGGTAAAAGAATTGCTTTGAAAAACATTGGACTTTTAAAGGAAGGGCTTGCAGACCTGACGTAGTGAGTAACCACAGTGGTCAAGGAGAAGCTGAGAATATCCAGAGAATATTCTGTCTTCCTATGACGCTTTGCAAAACCAACATGGCGTTGAAACCTGCCACCTACTTCTCCAGGTGGAGTTTTGCACTCTCATTTATTGCAGGCTCACATGCCGGTATTTAGTTCCTATTCACTGAGATTAAGATTCGGAAGTCATTTTTATACAAATGTGTCACATTCCTGATTCCTGTCCCTCTCAGGCTCAAAGACATCTGTGCAGTCCCAGCCTGCAGACACCAGTTCTCTCCTGCAAATCCCAAAAGTAAATTTTCACCGCATACGACCTCATGACAATCTAGATGGGGAGGGTAGACCCAAGACTCCCCGGCCTGCGCACTCTCCTTCTGCAGAAAGATTGCTTCGCAGACAGGTAAGCAAATTTACGCTTGTGAACTTATAGTAGCTCCGTGTTGAGGGATTATCAAATTAATAAGATGAATTCATAGTGTTGCTAGCACCTGCACAACTACCCTATCCCACCCAAAAGCGGCTGCGTTTCCATGTTACACGAAGTCATCCCTACCTGCTCATGGTTTGTATCATTTGCCACATCGGTGCCCTGGTGACTGAGCGAGAGTTGTAAATCTCATGTAGAAATGAAAAAGATGTATAGGTTTTGAAGTGAATCCCATCCCAGACTCTCTAAAGAGCCTAGCTGTGGGGTGTCACCTCCTTTGGCAGTGGGCCTCACTAATTCCAACTGGTTATTTTTGAATCCTTCCACCTTTCATCCATCCAGCCAAATGTTCCTTTGGGGGCTCGTGGAGTTCACTGACCCACTTCTGATCAGTCATGGTTTGATTTTCCCAACACTTGAGAGGACCCAGGGATTAGGGATTATGCTCCCAGGCCAACTCTGCCTGTGACTTCTGTAATTCCTTCTACTGGGGAAGAAATATCACACTGGCAGAGAAATGCTTTGCTTTGCTTTTCCTCTGTTTTATTTTGAGGAAGCCGGATATTTTTTCTGAACAAATAGAAGCAGGACACGTACTGTTTTCTAGGGGGGTAATCTACAATTGGATTACTTTTGTTTTGCATCTAGGTGAAGAGTTGACCTTATTATAAGAATAGGAACTAAGAATTCAAAAGGGTCTTATATGTATTAGGAGCCTAAATCCCATTTATAGCTATTTTCTAACTCCCAGTGACATAGGCTTTGCTTCAACTAAGTACTTAAGCACATGCTCAACTTTAAGTTCACCTCTGTTCAGTAAAACACTTATCCTTGTGCTGCTGTTCCACCACCTTGAAGTTAAGTACACGTTCAAGTGCATTGTAGAATCAGGACTTAACGAAACGCAGCAAATTTTCTAGTTTGCCTTTCTCGAGTACTTCGTTCCCTGTGCCTGATTATGGAATTGAAGGGTGGATTATGCTGTTTATACCTCTAATCATTTTTGAGGACAGTAACAAAAATGGCTAGAGGTCTAGAAAAACTGACATATGAGGAAAGGTTGGAGGACTTGGGATTGTTTAGCCTAGAGAAGAGAAAGCTGAGCAGGGTTTGATAAGTCTTCAAATTAAAAAAAAAAGGTATAAGGAGAATGAAGATCAACTCTTCTCTCCAGCCATTGGGACAGAACAATAAGGAATGGGACATTTAGGTGAGTTATGAAGAACTTTGTAACGATACAGGCGACTAAGCATTGGAACAGATGATCTGGAGAGAGAGAGAGTAAAGTGTCCATCGTTATATAATCCGGACTTAAAACTTCCCAAATTTTATTTAGGTTGATTGGGACCAGAGATGATCCAGCCTTGAGCAACAGGTTGGATTTCATAATGTCTTGAGGTCCCTTTCAGTCTTATTTTTGTATGATACCGTCATTATTTTTCACAAAATAATTTATCAAGCACATGAAAATAGCCCTGTTTGTTCAAAGAGTCTTCCCTTTCTTTTTTACATTGACAAAATAAGACAGGTAATTTAGTGAGACCTAAAAATGAATCTGAGGTGCCAAGGTTAGCATTATAGTCATCTGTAATATTAAACTGACAAGTTAAATTCCTAATGCATATTAGACGGCACCGGGCTGCCAGCATCCAAATCAACACTAATGGGAAAACTAATTGATTTCATGATTCCAGTTCATGAGTATCATCGCTTGACTTCTAATAAATAACAGACCCATCCTTTTGAACCTGTGTTTCCAGAAAAAATGATTGCCTCAGTCATTTTTTTTAAACTCTATTTTTGGTCATATTTTGGGAGGTTTCCTTGAAACCTTTTCATGCAATTACATTTATTGACTGAGCCACTGTTGTTTCTCTCCTCTAAGCCTGGAAGCCTGAATGACACTTAAAAACCCCCAAAACCCCATTTTGTGGCAGGGAATACATCCAATCTACCAGACGTGGTCCTCCGGACGTTACCACCAGTTTCTGTCATTGGCTTTAGTAAAACCGCACTACTGAAATCAGCTATCATGTAAATGTATGGCTAAAGCAAGTGTTAATACCAGTAACATGAAAACTCGTTATAAAAACCATTGGTGATCTCATTAAACTTTGTACAGTCAGAGCTTTTAAAAAATGTTATGTAAATATGCTTTAGTCAGAGTTAATCTTTATTGTAGCTGGTCCAAGGTATTATTCACGTCTTCCTACTAATCTGATTAGCATATCGGTCAGATCGGACAGTCAACAAGACTTTTATGGGCAATGTCTACACAGCACCTGGAAGCACTGCCATGAAGCATGCCCATGAATTGCTCCCAATTCATATGTGCCAGCTCCTAAAAATGAGTCAACAGAGCTGCCTCAAAGCAGTGCCAGATGCATGTTGGAGCCACTCTTCAGCTCTCTTACTGACACGTGCTCAGCCCTGCTCTAAGGAAGCGGCATTGCCTCCTGTCTAGGGTTTGGCACACATGGGGTGAGAGCAAGTGGGTGCAGTGGACTTCCTGGTTGGCTCCCAGCTGGTGTACGTGTGTCCTATATCTCTATTTGGGCACCTACATAAAAGGGGTTTCTAAAGGGTTGGGGTCTGCAGCTCCCATTAAAACCAGTGAAAGCTGTGAGCGTTCTTCAGATCAGAGCATTTCAGCCCAAACATCTGCATTTTCCATGGTGGGCATGGGGGTGGGGTGCCAGCTACACCTCTGATTACATAGGCAGAAAGGTAGATGTCTGTCCGCAGTTCCCCGACATATGGGTAAGCTGCCTTTGCCTCCTCACAACACATGCACACTTGAAAATATCACCAAGGACGGGATTTCAAAGGCATCAATGGGACTTTGAAAGTCTCACTAATTTTCAAGGGGATTTAGGTGCCTAACTGCCCTTAGTGCCTTTGAAAATCTCTGTCAAGGCTATGATTTTCCCCGTGTGTGCCTAAAGTTGGGTGAACCTTAGGTGTCTAAATAAAACACCTGATTAGCTAAACTGCTGAGTCTGCATCAGCTTCCACTGAAGTCAGTTGGGAGCTGCTGGGCTTTCTGCTTTTTATTAAATCAGACTATTTATTTAGGTGCCTTGCTAAGGGCTTTGGCACCAGGTGTTGGGTACCCACAAACCCTTGACCAGAGTGCATAGCATTTAAGCACCAAGGTTTGAAAATGTTGGGTCTAACACAATACATGTGCTCTCTGTCCTAATGCCAGCATTTTATGTTCAAGGTTGAAGACCATTTTTGTGCCCTTCATTAACTTCCCAGATCGCATGCAATCAATCCCATCTGGCCATAGGCAGGCAGGAACTTTTATGTTCAAGGTTGAAGAGCATTTTTGTGCCCTTCATTAACTTAGAGAACTGTGAGTTCCTGATCAACCTCTACCCTGTGTAAAATAGGCTTACAAATACATGTAGGTTAGTAGTAGCACATTTGAGATCTCTGGGTGAAGAGCAATAGAGAAGTGCTCTGTGATGGTGTATCTGTTAATAATAATATACAGCCTGGACTGCAATTCCTAAAGGAGCAAAAATTCCCTGTGACATCCATGGACGCTTTGCTTCCAGAGCTGCTGCGCTATCAAGTGCTCACTTCGCTGTGCTGTAGCTCCCATTATAATGATGTTGGCACCTCACTGGAGTCCAGTGTAATGGTTTCATTTCCAGCCCTCAATTTTTTTCTTTCTTATTCTGTATATTGCATGGAACTGTGATTGGTTTTCCTTTTTTTTTTTTCTTTTTTCCCCTTCATTCCTTAATTTATGTATAAATAAGTAGGGTCTGCCACATACCTGATCCATGCACTTTCCTCACTAAATTTTGAGTTGTTAAATCTCCCTTCCCTGTTAGAGTGGACACAGACCCCTGCGGTGATGTAAAACTGTAGACTGTGGAGAGGCTGACAATTAGTGATCAATTCAAAAACAACAATTAGAACTTCAAATGCTTTGAAAGAATAATTAAAGCTGAAGAATGTGCTCCTTGCCAGTGCACTGTACAAGTGATTTCTGCAGCGAAGTTCTACTTGAAATTAAAACCATGTTGACTTTTCAGGTCAGGTGCCAGGATTGTAACTTAATGCACAGGACTGTAACTAAAGGCTCATTAAAAGCACATCAAGCTATGGCTACTAAAGATGCATGTGACAATAAAAAACCGCAAAGGCTTATGAAGAGAGTGGGTGGAAATCTTTTCTTAAGTTGTAAAACAATTCAATGAAACTTTTTTTTTTCCCCAAACAGTTCTTACTATGGTCTGCCAAAGATGCCTGCATCATAGGAAAGAAAGAATTAGAAATGTCTAATGCTCATTTTATATATTACCACACAGTTTGTTTACAAGCAAAATTAACTGATAATTTTTTGCTGCATTTTTCCTTTCATGTGGCCTTTTCTCATGAATTTATTGTGTATTCTTTGCCCATTGAAATCATTGGCATTTTGGGTAACCAAAGGCCTACCATTACCTGGTTTTAATTACCAGTACGTTCCTCACTGCTTTGGCATTTTAACCAGAAAGGAAGCTATAATATTGGACCAAGTTTTGTCAATAGATATGTTCAAGCAACAAGCATAGAAGACAGAGAGCTGAACATATGTATGTCATGGCAAAATAATTATTACCAATCAACAAAACTGATATATTCCAGGTGAAGGTTGAGATACCTTTGTTTTACTCTTTAAGTGTAAGACCTCCATCACTGTAAATTGGCACTACTTAAGAAAACAACTGAGTTTTGCCAATTTTATATCAGCTGAGAATCAGGCCCTAAATTGTGCAGAATTCTGGGTAAAACCAAAGGCAGAAGCATACATGTATCAGAGCAAGGCTTTTGATACCATCTCCCATGGCATTATTGCAGGCAAGTATGGGCTGGATGAATGGACTGTAAAGTGGATAGAAAGCTGGCTGGATTGTCAGGCTCAACAGGGTGTAGTCAATGGCTCAATGTCTGGCTGGCAGCTGGTATCAAGTGAC